AAAGTTGCCCCAGGTGAAAAACCAACAACACAGTGGGGAATCCTCTCAACTGTAGCATCTGTACATGCCCAACAAGGCTTCCTGGCTCCATTCCTCTTGCTGGGAAAGAGAAAATCCAGATTACAAGATGCTTTGCTCCTGAAACTCAATGAAACATCCAGAGAACTGAACTGCATCACTTTTTGGATACGAGTTGCCATGGTACTCACGGTCAGCAAATTAAGCAAGGCCCCTCGTCACTCTCATGTCAAGAGAGTCAAAAGAAGAGTAAAAACTCAATGAGAGTAAATTGCGGAAACAACAACCGGCTAAACTTGTCTGTGTTATTTTATGCAAAGAGTCAATAATTACTGTGTTAGTAAGTTTGATGTCATTGAATAAGAGTAATGTTAAGTTGTAGGTTGCAGTGAATCTCACTGTAGTCTGTCACTGACAGGCAACAGTTTTTATAAAGTACAGTTTAGAAAAGATAACCCCGTTGCTCGAGAACATGTGTTCATTTGCGCATGCACGAAATAAAACCTGCGCATTCCAGCAGTGACTCCTTGTGGACCAGTCCAGGCAATGTCTGGACGTGATGGCACTCCTCATTTTAACTAATGCAAGATGGAAAGCAATGGATTGACATTGATTATTGATTATTAAAATGTGATTAGCAAGGCAAACAGGGCAAAATAGATGCACATAAATCAGTAAATAATAACCAAAGCGTATTCAGCCCAACCATATTTTACATTTGAAAATGTAAAATAAAAACTAAATTAAAACTGAATTAAAACTGAAATGAAAACCTGCAGCTGATAACAAAAATATCTAGCTAGTATTGTTATCTATAATACACAGGGCCTATGCTATAGTTTTTCAGCAGTAAATGCTGGATCATCAGTCAGTAGACTCCACCCAGTACAGTTGATCCATTTCCAGCCTCAGCCAACACCAGCACAGACCCAGTACAAATGTCTTACATCTGTACTACAAGTCTAGCAAGTCACACAGACCCAGGTGAAGTATAAGCAGCCTCAGCCAGTGTGAGCACAGCCAGCGATGTAGAGCCAGCATCAGATTAAAGCAGCTCAGACCCTAATGGAACAGTTGCTGCTCCACCAAATGACCCAGTAGATTGGCTCCCAATCTTGACAAACCAGCTCTGGATTTTTCTTAAACCCAAAGGCAAGTCTAGAAGACGTTTCCTTTCAGGTTTATTATAGAGAGGGACGATTGTAGTGAGACCTCTACAGTGTCAGGTGTGACTGTACAACAATGACAAATTGTTTACATGAGTCCGGTAGGAGGGCCCCATAGCAGAATCTTGCTTGTTGGCCCCAGGGAGGTCAGGATCAGATGTGACTATCAGTGCTCATACATGTTGGTTGTCAGTGAAGACAAAGTGCATTGCTCCTTATTCATAGTTAAGGTAAACGTTGCACCCACAAAAGTTGTTACCGTACCATGGCTGGAGCTGACGGCAGCAGTGAAAAGACTCACAGACCGAGAATAACCATTTGCACTGTAATTGACTTTCTCATGTTTAACTTTGTGCCTTTACATGGAAAATGTCAAACCTTTCAGATTTTTTCTGATTTCATCAAATTTCAGTTGTGCTAATATGTTTGGGCCTGTTTATCAATGGACGCTAACTTGAGAGAGTTTAAAATGTCTTTTATTTTCTTGTACTTTTTTAATATTCTACTGATGAAAGAGAAAGAAAAAAACATTATATTTATCTTGCAAAAGACAACAATTCTTGCCAAACTCTTCAAACTCTTAAAACTTGTATTTTTGGAACAAAACAGTACACCCAAATGCACACAAAGCAGCAACTACAAATAAAAATGAAAAAAACACTTTTGCTTTTGCTCATTCTGTGTGAAGGCATAGACCGGTGTTTACAGTTTTGCTAGACGTGTGTTACTGAATTGCAGAGTGTAAAGCAGTAAGTGTGTTTACGGTATTTCAAAAATATTATATTATATAAATAAAATAACGTATTATTGTTATTAAATTATAAACTGAATGTAGGGCGTGCATTCAGTTTGGCACACTTGGTTAATGCATTGGCTATAAGTGGTAATAGTTTCAGAAGTAGTGCCTCAAGAATCAGGATCCAAAGACAGAATCAGAATGTTAGTGTTTAAGCATTCAGGGAAAAAAACTGTAACATACAGGTGCTGGATCTCCAGACCTTACTGAAAGCAAGGTTAAACAGCAGTGACTCCTGGGGCATTAAACAGTAACACATTTCTTCTTCTTTTGCACAGAATCGTAGGACCTTTGTGAAATGGCTTTTTTCGAGCTGTTTAAATGTTTTATACTTGCATACCTTGCACTGTAATACTAGTGTTTCATTTTAAAGAAGATTTCAACTTTTCAAAAGTTTTGTTTTGTATTAGGCTACATAAATTGACCCAGCCTAAATGAGAATATGACCTTTAAAAAGGGTTTTATGCAAAAGTTCTTAGGTTTGTATCAACATACACATAAACCTTTAGTAAGAACAGGATTAATATGAAATCCTACTCTTTTTATGTATTACTTTACCTTTTATCATTTTGATAGAATGAAGCTGTTATGAGCTTAGTTTTGGGTTATATTTGTGTGTTGTACTTTTCCCTGTGTGTTTCTGGTTTTGCCATTGTTTCATATGTCTATATCTATTTGCCTTCAGTTCTTCTTGCCTTAGTTCTTAGTTCTGTGCTTTAGTTCATGTTAATGTTATTCCTGGTCTGTGTGTTTCTGTGTTTCATTATTTGATGAAGTTTAGTTTTGTGTTCATTCGCATGTTTAAGTTTTCTTAGTATCTGTCCTGTCTTTTATCTTAGCTCTTAGTCCTGTGTCCCCATGTAGTCCTGTCTCCTGTTTGGTCCCGTCCATGCTCTGATTTTGCGGTCTTTCCATGTTTGTGTTTTACTTTGGTAGATCTAACTTTCTGTTTTATTTTGTAATCTTCTGTGCCTGGTGTTGTCTAGCTTTGCTTCCTGTTCTGATCTCCTTGATGTGATCCACCTGTTTTATGTTCCCACCCCAGTCGTTTGGCTCACTACTTAATGCCTGTGTTCTGTTCAGTCTGTGTTGGTCCAGTGTTGAGTGTATCCCGTGTTGGTCTGTTGTCTGAGTTGGTTCCTGCTGTTTCTGGACCTCTGTTTCATTTACACCCCTTTGGATTCTATTTGGACTTAGCCACAGTTTGCAAGTGCACTCTCTTTTTGTTAATAAGTCTTTGGACTATATCTGCTCAGTTCTGGTGTCATGCACTTGGGTTCTCAACCTGCTCCACCACCACTGCTTATAACAGAAGGCTGTATTTACTGGCTTAAATGTTGGTTAAAGAGGTGGTATTATGCTCATTTTCAGGTTCAAAATCCTATTTAAGGATTGCACTAGAGCAGGTTTACATGATTTAAAAAGGTGGTAATATGCTTTTTGGCTTTTCCCCTCTCCTTTTGAGTTATATCTTTTTTGTGCATGTAACGGTAAGTCCAGCCCTAAGGGAGTTCCCATCTCCCACAGAAAACTTTGCCTGAAAACAACTTGTTTGTAGTCCAGTCGTTTCCCTTCCTTCACTGTGATGTCACAATGAAAACGCCTCATAAAGCTTACCAAGCAGCTAGCGGGGTCAGGCACGCCCTCAAACCAAGCTAGTCTGAGCAGAGGCCCTTTGGCTCGACTCGCCTTTGTTTGGTTTTCCATTGTAGAAATGTTGCACCTGTACCTGCTTCCAGGTACTTTTTTTCACATCACCTCACCTCCATCGAGGTTCCAAGCGAGCTGATGGATACTAAAATGTAACGTGAAAACACGACAGACTGCTGACTGGTCAGAGAGAATATTCACTATTCACTGCATCATCACTGCACCAGACAGAGGCCAGCAACAGAAAGTTTTATATTTTACAGTTTTCATGTGTAATTCCATCACTAAATCAACTTCTGAGAAGTTTTCAGGTGAGAAATCAGCTGTGTAGATTTCCAATATTGACAGTTTTTTTGTGCTTGAATATTTTCGGAGTTCAGGAACTCCGCAAGTGGCTGCGGGGGAAGCCTGTGCCAACCCGCGGGAGGAGCGTGTGAGGCCGGTCAGTGTAAAACGGAGCAGGGCCAAGTAGAGTCAACCAATTTTTATGTAAAATTGAGTTGAAATATTGATTTGATATGATGTGAATATGCAGTATTAGAAAATATGGTATTTTTTGAAAATTAAACCATGTAAACTTGTTTTGGTACAACCCCTAAGATTTTGAACCTGAGAATGAGCATAATACCACCTCTTTAATTTTCAAAAAACACCTTGTTTTTTTTTCATACTGCACATTGCTGTAGCTCCTCTTTTCACCCTGTGTTGAAGGCTTCATTTTAGCTATGGAGTGATACATCTCGTCTCTGAATGATCTTTGTTGGGAGTTGCACATGCGCAGTTCCTAGTTAAGAACTACTAGCCAATCAGAAGCAGAGAAGGGCGGGTCAGTGAGAAGCCGGTAAACCGCTTCGATTCAGCTGTAGGCATGGACTGGAGCAAGAGTTTCAGAGTGGAGAATTATTAATCTGTAACAAAAGTATCTTTCATCCATAAAGTTTTAACTGAGCTCTGTCTCTACATCACAGTAACAACTTTATGTCCACTGACTGCCTGGAGGGTAGCTAGTGAGAGGAGAGGTGTGCAGCTCAGTGTTTTTTCCACCGGCGTTTTTGAGGGCGTGACGGAGTAGCTGCTTGGCAAGCGTTATATGAGGCACTTTCAGCTTTCATGCCTGTGTCGTCAGGACACAGGCAAGAAAGGGAAACGGCTGGACTACAAACAAGCTGTTTTCGAGTTTTCTGTGTGAGATGGGAACTCCCATTGGGCTGGACTTTGGGCTTTTTCACTTTTCAAACCTGTTACATGCACAAAAGATATATAACTAAATGAAGGAGAGGGAAAAAGCATAATACCACCTCTTTAAAAAAAATAAATCAGTAAATTTGAGTGCATTTGATTCAGTTTATTTAAATCCAATATCTTAATATTTCATTGGTGGCACCTTTGTCATTATACTACATTACAATATTGTTATTACAGCAACTTCTAAAATCATAATGTTCTTTTTTGGGTTATTAAATAATGTGAATAAAGTCAATAGGTACAACCAGTGACTTCAATGTCTTCCAGTTGTGTTCTATCCATATCGGATACACTTGAGGTTGTTTTTGAAGAAGTGAAGCTGCAGTTTGAACTCTGAGTCACTGTGTGAAGGATTTCTGAAGCTGGCGTAGCGAGCTGCATCCTTTTTGTTGGCTGTTTTGGGCTGATGGCCAATGGACACATGGTCACAGCTGGCAACCAGTAAGGAGCCCAGGCCATCCATAAAGAACTCTAGAGTCAGAGACAGATATTAGAAAAACACATCTTTGTATCATGGCCAACAAAAACTGAAAGAATATGGGCTTAAGGCCACTTGGAATCTAAATTCTGTCTGGCTCTAGACCTACCTGAATGCGCTACCCTCTGGAGCTTGGGGACTAATCCCACCCTCTGTACAGCATCTGTACGAGCCAGGAAGAAGTTGACCACCCCACTGGCCAGAGAGCATTGTGGGTACCCAGGAAGTGAGTGGAACTTTGCATTAGACTTCCTGTACAGGCAGCCGCCCTCCATTTCCTCTCCTTCCTCATATTGAAGAGAGAAGTAAAACCGGTTCCCTTGTACTGACCCGCCAAGCTGTTAAGAACAAAGAGACCAGAGAACTGGTTAGGGTCAAGGAGCTGAAGATATAGGGTGTTGGGGTTGAAGTATGCTGGGTCATGCTCATTGTAAATCGGTTGGACTAAGTTCGTGTATAAAATCCAAAAATTATCAAAAATCAAAACAGCTGACTTCCTGTTGGGTGTCGGGCATCGATCCCAGAGGCTTTTTTGTACATCTGGACATGATACACGTACCACAGAAATTTCATACACGTAGGTGTAATTTTGTCCAGGGGCTGCTCTGTAGGGTGCGCTAGGGAGCCATTTTGCCATGCCCAAGCGCGAAACCCATAAAATACAAAATTTTTCACCGTGCCTCAATTATGTGCAAAATTTGAGTATGTTTAGGGCCCCAAAATTGAGGTTACTTTGCAGGAAAACAAGAAAAATAATCCCTCACACGTTTCGTGCTCAGGTCCTAATTAATCAAATCGAAGATTAAATACAGGTGGCAAATTGGCTCTTCGTTAAGATACCAATATTTAACATTCTTTCTGCAACACATTGAAATAGTATGTCCATATTGATTAAGAAATAATTACATAAATATACTGACACATTATGTTTCATTGGTTTCAAATATAATAATAAAAATGTAAAAAAAATTGTAATTTGATAATTGTTATGCCTTTCTTTTTTGTAGGCGTGGCTTCACTCTGGGCACCTGGGGGAATGGCAAACCTATTACCAATCAACTGATAAACACTGAAATCGGGTTTATCAAACTTTGAGCCTAACCATGAGCTCTGAGTGAAAAACGTCAGTTCAGTCCTTGCTTGAACCGGATGTTGTTCTGATCCGCCGTCTTGCAGACTGCCCGAAAGCTCTTATTTTTGCTCCAAGGAGTGAAAGGGCCTTTCTCACTTCCCAAATTTCTGTCTCCTCAACTCCTCAATCCTCGAGCGTGTGACCCGGAAATCGATCTCAGCACACCATCTTGAACGACATCTCAATTCTTAAAATGCACATCGAGGAGGCTTGCTGGAGGAGCTATAAGAGGATCCACCGGTGTATCCTTTGCGGAAGTCTTTTCAGCCGCTGTGATGTTTACAAGAGGCGTGACAAGCATAGCCGGAGCAGGACGCTGCAGTGTTTTGTATTAGTTAAGCCTATTAAAAATAATCAAGTGCGCGATCGAACTTTCTGCCCTTCATCGTTTGTGTAACACCTCCATATAGGGGCGGCTGTGGCTCAGGAGGTAGAGCGGGTTGGCCGTTAATCGGAAGGCGGTTCAATCCCTGGCTGCCCCTGGTTGCGTGTCGAAGTGTCCTTGGGCAAGATACTGAACCCCGATTTGCCCCTTTGTTCCGCCAGTGTATGAATGAGTGTGAATGCTAGTTCCTGTTTGAGCACTTAGGCTCAGTGTATGAATGTGTGTGACTGGTGAATGCAGATGTAGTGTAAAAGCGCTTTGAGTGGTCGAAAAGACTAGAAAGGCGCTATACATTTACATAAAGCGCTGTTCTAACCGCATTCCTTAATGTCATTTCACTTTGATATCACTGATGTTGTTGTTGAATGTGATGTGTGGATGGTGAGCAGGGTTGTAAAAATTAACATTAAATAGCGGCTGTATGAAGCGTCTCCCCAGTGACACTGCGCATTTACCCACGAGCCACAGTAACATAATTTAATAATAAAAAATCTCCCGACAGAATCTGTCAAAATCTGATGTTAATTCATGTTCTGTGTTCTTCACATCCAAAAGGTTTCTCACAGTCCAGTTTCATACAATAAAACTGTTAGCCGTCCTCCTGATCAATGCTGAGCTCCATCAGTCTAAACATGGATTATAGAAGCCTGAAGTTTAATTCTGTTTCCTCTGTTTTCTCTGTCTGTCCTGTCAAGTTTATTACAGTTTTTTTTTTGTTTTGTCTTGTGATATTTGCTGTGACATTACTGCATGGATGGAAACGTTTAAATGACTGACAGCAGCCTCTCTGATTAGCAAAGTAAATCATTAAAGATAAAACTCATAGTAGCTACAACACACAAGAAATCACCTGGAAAGCTACAGAGACCGGTGGAGGTGGGGGTAAAACGTCCATGCAGATGCTGGTCTCTAAATATGATAATTAAATAAATAATAAAATATATGATAAATAATTATTTGGTGGGGGGGCAGGTGGATGACTTATGCGGATAGGCCTATATGAGTTCCGTTAATATCTGAGCCGATCCGCGCACAACACAAATTCAGCTCCAGTCCTGTGGTGACAGTTTTAATTAGGGCTATATGAGATGAATGTTACGGTGTCATTTTGTAAAGGTACTGATGATGAAACTCTTACCTCATCAGGCTGAGAGTTGAAATAATCTCCTCTTTACAAGCAAAAGGTGCATCGCAAAAACAGAAGTAGCCTACTGTGTACCCCAGTGAATGATTAGGCTGCTGTAATCTGACTGTTTTCAACAGATGTTATAATGTTTATTGGAATAATAAATAATGTTAACAGACATGTTTCTGGATTGTGAAGATCTGATCTGTAGCCTTTAGTGCCAAATGCAGGTCTGCTGCTCTGACAGAGATCACAGCTCAAACAGTGGACAGATGATGCAGCTGTGCAACAGGTCATATTTAATTGACGTCGCTTTAAAATGATTGCTCCGAGGAAAGGGCATTTCATTAAATGCCTGTTTCCTCGACTCCTCTCTCCTCGCGTCTCCTCCTCGACTCCTTGAGCTCACATCTTGGGTGGGAGGGACTAAGAGGAGGTGGAAATTTAGGGAAATGAGAAAGGCCTGAAGTCTTTTACTGAATGACATTCCCCCTTATTGGACGCTGCAGCTGATTGAACTGATCTGATACACCACAACACTACAGTTTCATACGGACGTGTAGACAGATCAAAGACAAACCGTGAATAAAACCAGCTGATTATTATGTTTATTAAAATGGGCTGTTGTATTTATATGATGGAACGCAGTGATCGATCAGTGACAAGTCATGTGACTTTCAAATAAATTGTATGGAGTAGGCTGGAGTTAAAGGATATCAGAAAATAAATGAATAGGAAGCTTAAAACTGAGCGTCGGCTTTGATATGAGTTCCATCATTTCAATTTCCCCTTGAAACATCTAATGAATCTAAAGACACCATGATCATATTCTGGTTTATTCAACAAATGTTAACAATCACAAATCAATCAATTAATAATAGAAGCATTGTGCCAGTAGAACTGATTCTGTGCCTCTGAGCAGGACACAGTATAATTGTGAAAAAGCAGGTGTTTGTAAAACACTACAGAGGGAAAACATGCTGCTCTGCAATGAGACTTTATTAGTATCAGCACAGTGCATGTGTGCAAACCCATCAAAGTTATCCAAGATGAAATTATGGATCAAACAGAAGACACAGTTTACTCATTGACCTGTTGTTGTAACAAATGACATTATTGTTCATTGATCACTTACACCTTCATACAGATTAGTTTGACTTAAACTGATTACTGCAGTAATGCAGCCCACGCTAAATGTTTCAGTGCAAATGTTGCCAACCTGACAGCTGCCTTAATGTCCACAGAGTCACAGTGTTATAAAGGACAACGTAGGCCATAGATTTTTTTCTGAGCTGAGGTGCTTTCATCGATGACACATGGATCATAAAAGTGGTCATGTTAAAGATCATGTTTGGGTATAATACTAATATCTAACCGGGATTTTGATATCTCTGAAGATGTAAACTTCTGCAAATGAATGTTTTTCATTCCGTAGGTGCTTTAGAGAGAAACAAATGAGTGGAAGGGGGGGGGGCACAGGTAGACAACAAAGAAAGAATGGTTGAGGGTATTTATGATAAAGGATAAAGGAAATGGTAATGAGTGGATCAGTATCAAACCTATATTTCTTTTAATAAACAGATCTGATTGTTTTCTTTAGGGAAAGTTGTCCGCATTGTTTGTATATTCAAATGCCTAAACACACACATGATGTGGTGTACTGCCTCAAAGGTGCATGCATGAATGAGGCAGTAAAATAGTTTGTCAGACAGCTGCTTAGGCTACCAGGATGGGAGTAGTCAGAGAGAAACTCAGTTTGTTCAAGTAAAAGTCCTCCTGAACAGGTTAGCTTCTGATCTGGGGTTTATCTGAACTCGATCTCTCAATGGATAACCCAGTTTCCCTCATCTTGGTTTGTTTTTCATATCTCAGGGCTCCCGTCTGTTTCCTCTGCGTCTCTCTCAAACAGCCTCAGCCACCTTCACCCTGACTGCTCCATCTCAAGCCTGTATGTCTCTTGCTCTAGTCAGCCCCACAAGCCACCACTTCTTCAGTACGTTTGTTAATAAAGACTTAACTTTTACCTCACCTGCTGTGTTCTCTGTGACGGCAGAAAATTGTTTTCTTCTTACACTTATAATCTTTTATGCAAGTACTTATAAGAGTGTTATTATTCTCCTTATATATTGTTTTAAATCTTTAACCTGTTCCCTCTTTATTATTGTTCATGTCTGTCCACATGTGTGGGGTTTAGGTCAGGGATGTGGCGTTTTTGTTTTGTTTTTTCTCCCTCACTCCCTCACACTTCCTTGACTGGGACCAGTAAAGGATCTTTTGTTCCCCAAAATAATAGATGCTCAGACTGTGTAAATGATCATGCAGCCCTTTGAGGCTCTGGTCCAGCTGATTTATATCTCATGCCTGAGTGATTTACAGGACCCTCTATCTGCTTGTAAACTGACAAGTGGTTGCTGTGTACCCGAATACAGACTAGCTAGAGAGAGAGACAATGGGGAAGTGTCAGAGTAAAGTGAAGACTGGGTGGGAAACCACTTCACTATTATCCTCACCAAAAATGGATGACTGAAAAACATGCAAACTCAATGGGACAATTTGATAAGTGGGTTGAATTTGGGTTCCCAGCAATGGGGGGAGCTTTAGTCTACATCAATTGCGGCAACTGAAGATACGTTTAGAGGTGGAGGAAAGGATGGTGGCGGAGAAACATGCAGCCTTGTCCTCCTCCCTACAATCC